GGTAGAAAAGCTACATAATACATTTTAATTTGTAGCACCAGTACAAATCTAAAAGTACTGTATAGAGCTTCTACAGAGTACAACAGAGAAATAATTTTCTCCTCTGAAGAAGCATAACCCTTTTATTGCACATGTGGAATATTTTGCCAATATTTCAGTATTTTCTTTATTAGGAAGCAGTATCAATTAAAGCATAATGAGCAGAGGAATATATTCATCCTTAGAATGCATTCAAATATTCCATTTTTAAAACATTTTTCAGCTGTTCTTCCACCTTATGTACATATTATGAATTATCTGCAAAAGTTTTCAGTTTAAATATTTTTAGTACAAAATTGTGTTTTACCTTGCACTGTTTAGATAATTTGCTACTCAGGAGTTTGTTTGTTTTGATGTAATGGCTACATTTGCACATAATGATAAACCTGTATTAATGGCAAATTCTGGTTCATTGTAAATGGACTGCATACAATCTACCTATTCTTCCTATGTATACAAGTGAGTAAAGTTGGTAATGATCTGAGGCTAAATCTGTGATCATAATTTGAAACAACCAAGCAATCCAAGCTTAGGAGTAAACCAAGAAAAAAACCCTGATTTTTTACTGGCTTATAGCTTAGTTTACCTGGGAGCATTAAAATGAAAGCCTTGGTTTATTATACTTTTTTAAAATAATATTTTTATTATACTTTTACATAGTTAAAAGCTAATACAGAATTAGAAAAGATATACAAACAAAAAAAGAAAGAACAAGAGAAAGAAAAAGAAAAAAAAAGACATAAAAAATGACTCCCTCTCCCTTCAAACAAGTATAAGCATTTACAGTAACTTAACACCTTCTCTAATATTACAGAAATTAAAAAAAAGATCCTCTTCTTCCCATTTCTCATCATTAACAATACTTTCTCTAATAAGTAAGATATAAAAGATTTATCTCCATATGTATAAAGAATATCAATAATAGTAACATATTTTAAACTAGATCCAATAGGTTCCTTTTACATTCTAACCCATAACTTTCTCTAACGAGTAGGAGGTAAAAGATTTATCCCCATATGAAAAAATATTTATATCTTCTTGCAGTCCTGGTTAATTTTTTTTTAAAAAAAATCCAATAATTACCCAAAATCAAAATTTATACAATTTAACCCTGGTCAAATAACTCTACTTTGAACTTCTTTTTCTTCTTTTTAAGAGGCTTAGTCTTCAGTTGCTTCTTCAAATAAAGTCCCACATAGTGATTTCGTATCATTTTCTCCCTGTTTTCAGTAGCAAGTTT